TGCCCCTCACCGTGTTTATTTGCTGGAGTGACCTCTCCAGAGGCGGGTGTGGATAGAAGGAGACCAGGAGGTGTCCAAGCAGCTGGCCTTTTGAGACTGAACTTCGTCTGGCCTCTACCCGTTGACCTTTCAGGCATGATTAGATCTGTGGCTGTGAGGAGCCATCCCATATAGCTCGCAGGGTCATTGAGGCGCGCAAGCCATCACACCACGTCAAGGTGCAATCTCGTCGTGATGGCATTTTCAATCCACTTGACAACGGATTCACCCGTTCTACAGTCCAATGCACCGGTGTGTATAAAAGTAAAGGGCTTGAAAAGAGAAACCCGGATATTCACTTTGGTGACGTAGATTGCAGTAAAAACTGACAATGGGTTTGGAATGACAAACCCATTGAGATGTTTGGTTAGATGTGGTATCAAGCGGACACAAATTCTATCTGGGTCACATTATAATGGTCCTCAGAGAGCAATAGAGGGAAAGCCAATTAAATTCACCCGAGACACTAATGACGTGTATTTCACGAAGAGTTATCCTGGATGTAGCCTTACAGATGAACACATGATTCGCACGTCACCTCTGTGAACCCGTTTTTTGCGGACTATGGTGAGCAACTTTAAGATATTTTCTATAATACTTCGTTGTCCGTTACTATTCGAAAATAACGCTTAAGCTATTGTCATAAAACGTGTTCGTACACCACGCAAATAAAGTAACCCGTATTTGTTTCATCTGTCACGTCCATGTGCGAATTATCCATCGTTTGGTCGAACCAGTGCACACTCGTTTCGCATTCACAGTAACGACAGACCAAAACCTTTTTTCGACAGTAGTTTCGTTCTACCTTTCTTTATTGCTGACTTTTCGCGTCGGGAAACGCGTTTGTGTTTCAGGACGTGGATGCTCGAGCACTGGCATTGATAGGCGAAACGGAACTTTTCAAACCATCCTGTGGCTTCCCTGAGGTGAGTATTGCTGATGGTTTTACATTTTGTCGTCTTCTAGTCTTTTTATCTCGTTGACGCATTCATCATCAATCATCTGCTGTGATGATAAGTGATGTAATAAAGTTTATGAAATGAACTGTAAATTGGTATAAATCAACTACTCGCAGCCTTAAAAATCCTTGAGATTCACAGTCTCAGCACTTTCAGCTGACTTTCCAGACACAAAAGTTTGAAATAAATTGAAAATGAGCGAATGGTTAGATAACCTAGAGTGTAGTCCAAACTATCCTAGTATGTACAATCTACCAGAAACAGCCACTGCACTCAAGTTACTGGTGTTTTGCGTACAGCTCATTCTACTAGCTCGCAGTTTGTGAACACTGAAATTACCTCAGATTGATTGCTTTGCCATAGACATTTTTGTATTGGGATCTGTTTGACACCTGATGTAAATCTAGATTAGTGTGAACTACGGTAATAGTGATAATAATTCTCATATTAATAATAATGGATTCATCACTGAAGTACGTGTTGGCGCTAAAAGTTAACGCAAATTCTTCACTCTACTGTTCATTTATATTTTTCCCATCTACTTTGCTGTCCACTGTATCATCTCCAGCCATACTTCTCTCAATATCCTATCTTGTCTTCACGTCGTCCTTATTCCCCAGAGGTGTGATATGACTATTTTGAGGATGACCGTCTCTCTCTCTCTCTCTCTCTCTCTCTGTGTGTGTGTGTGTGTGTTTGCGTACACACTATCCACCCTAGTCATTTGCAATGTGCAATCGAGAGTGACAGGTGCTGTCGTTTGCTTGCTTAGAAGCTGCCGCTTTTGTGCACTAAAACGCCCGTCATTGGATACCAATCTGATATGTAGATATTTAACTGGGGGGCGCTTGAAGTTCATCCACGCGAAAACCGGGACACTCCTTTTTCCCTGCTTGTGTTGGGTTGCCTGTGATAACGCTTAACATTGATCCAACATAATGATTGAAAAGCTGTACATGTATATACACGCTCTAGCCGGTTAACAGAATAAGAACAATATAATACCGTGGGCATATTTCTTTTTAGGTATACGAAACTTATCAAAGTCCCACAATATGTGGCATTTTATTAGATTGTGAAGTCATGTCACTTCTGGGATGCGCTCGCCGGTCAAAGGGAATGAAGTTCAGGTTTGACTTTCACTAAAAAGTCAGGCATACAGAGTAGCGCGATGCAGCCCAGAGTCCGCAGTCTACTGTGGGTTGATGTTTATTTCTTTTGGTCACAAACCCATTGGATGAAGTTAAAAGTCCAAGGTGGTAAATTGATCTCGATACTCCATCAAGTCAAGGACCAGGACGGGAACCAGGAAGTTGTGGGATTTGTTTGTGAGCCTTATCTTGACTAGTTTTTCAACTCCCAAATGAACTGACTACGAATTACAGGCCCGGTCTTAGTCACAGTAACGGGCGATCTAGGCCATGGAAGTTCTCGTGGCTAACTACACACGGCTCCACTAGAATAGATGGAGCAATGAGCTGGACAACAGCGAAGTTGTCTATCACCTGAGTTTGAAGGGATTAAAGTTACTTGAGCCTCAGATTTGATAAACAAAAGCTACCTAATCTGCTTGGCCTCCACTACCGCCCGCAAAAATGAGCTTCAGTGCTTCACAGCTTTCGTGTGTGATCTCGATTGTATGTGATTACCTTTGCATTCAGGAATTCTCCACTAATCCTCAATGTTGTATTTGATCAGCTTGATCAAGTTGGGTGAGTTCACGATCCAAGGAGCTATGATTTTCATCTTGATTGCTTTCTTCCACTGAGCATTTTGATGACTGCCGTTTCTGCTCGCAATAGGACACACCGTCCGTTGACTCCGAAGCTTCTCAGCGTTTTGAGAGGAGTGGGTGATCGCTCGTGTGTGTGGAGGGGGGGGAGAGTACACAATTATTATTATGTTGCACAAGCGTCTGCGTCCAGACGGTGTGACATGCAAATTACGGCACCACAATTTTTCATCAGTAGAGATCGGTCCATGATTCATCCGTGGACGCGATATTGACAGGTTAAAAAGGCGAAAGCAGGTGAATTCAGCAAATTCACATCCGCAAAGCATCGGGGCAGGGTGTGAAAACCGTAATCTGTTAGGAGTCGGTGCCCAGTTCATCGTATCATACTATCTATGGTCAATGTCAAACCCCCAAGGTGTCGTATAAACCTCGATGCCCGATCGAACCGGTAACCAATGCGACAACCAAGGTGTGTGGTTTGTGTACCTCTTCTTGATTGGTTTGAAATTAGGGTTTTTAGGCAATTCCCTCAAGGTGAACTGTCAGTGGTTCACTGACTCGATTTTAGCCCCGAATTTTTGCTTTTCGTCTCCTCACTTTAGTGGAAAAACACCGTATGAAGGCAATGAGTAAGGCTTCATCAGCAGAGGTTATTTGAAATTCCTGGTCGTATAACAGCGATTCGCGAGGTGCAAGAGGAGGCTGATCAATCACAACCGTAAACACCCGTCTTCGACCATACCTGGGCTTTCGGAGGCAAATATCTTGTCATGAAGTCATCAGTATGTGCCCAGGTAAAACACAGCTTGCCGCCCATTTTTATAACGTAAACCGCAGAATTTTCACAGTGGCTTTCTTTTTTTAATAACAACTACAGCAACAGGGTTTCAGTTGCAATAAGCGACGTTTTAAACTGCACGACGAACGTTGGGAATAAACCGGACCGTAGTGACTGTATGCGCCTTCAGTGAAAGAAACGGGTTCTAGACCACAAATTATAAACCGATAAGCGCCACCGGTAACGATTTATTCCACTGAACTATCATCACTTTGTGTGTGTGTGTGTGTGAACCTGATGATAGGTTGGGACACATCTAGACGTTCTGTTTATCCGTTTCAAGTGTGAACAGAACTTAAATCAAAATGCGTTGTGAATATTCCATCATGCATTCACTCCACACACTGTCTATTCAGTTGTTGATCTTTTGCCAGTATGTGGACTTTCAACGGGAACAGTCTTGTGATTATCCCATTCGTTCGAAAATATTTTAGATATTAAGAAACTCATGGTAAATTGACGATTGCGTTGCAGTATAACAAGATAGCTGAGTAAGACACTTCTCTAATCATCTTATTACGAATAAAAATACTATTCTGCATAGGCTCATTTGACTCCTGTTCTGAAGGTTATCCGCGCTTTCATAACATGTACTGTTTTCAGCACACGTACACACGAAGTGCTTTGTGTAGTCCGACGAATCAAGAGAGTTTCTGACTTAATATGGACAGAAGAAAGTTCTGCTCTCTCTCTCTCACCCCGTTTATACTAAATGTAAAACAAAAAATACCATCAATGTGGTGCGATGTATTTCGGCAAGTCCTTACTTTTGCACTTTATTTTAAATTCGCTATAACTTTCATGTCGACAGTCGTAGATGAGCTATTAATTAATGTGCTGATAACATTCTTCTGCGATTGAATCCGAAAACTGGAATTTGTTTGAAACATTTTTATTTCGATCCTCTTGTTTCACACAAAACGACCCTGGCAAACCATTTATCACAAAGCCGATCCATCAACTTTTTATCCTACCATGGAATAATAAAGAGTTATCATAATTGCTCCTCTTCTTGAGCTCCCTGTTTTGATTGCCTAATATTCCATCCCTAATTCGTACTTTTATATCGCGTCACCAGATCTCCTATCGCTGGACCAAAACTGATTTGGCCTTGGTTCTCACCGCGATGTCACGTTACGGGGACGATTTTGCCACAATTGCTCGAACCATAGGCTCCAAAACGGAAGGATTTATTCGGGACTTTTATAATCAATGTCGAGAACTATTCCCGTTAGATGACATTATTCGGTAAGTTTGATGTTGTCGGTTTGTTTAGAAAATTGTTGAACTTGTTGTTTGGTAGAAGTCGTATGTTTAAATTGTGTAGAGTACAAATGTACGACCAGTCCAAGAGATTTGTGGTTAACGGATGACTACTTTCCCGCTGCAAAGACCACCGGTGATCGTGCACCGCCATCTTCGATGCGTTGCAACAGTCTAAAGGTAAAATCAGACGAGCAATGCCAATGTTCGGCGCAGCGTTTTAGGTAACCGCGGTCAAGCAAGGACCTAGGTGCTTGACTTCCTTAAACTGTCATGCCTGGGGAATGTGTAACGCTTTTCAAAGCATACACTTTCTCTGCAGACAGTGCTTGCCTATTCCGAAAGCAGTTATGAAAAGTTTAAGGATAGTCAAACCCGGACCTGCATGAGAATAAGAAACCCCCGACCGAGGGTCTCACTCACACATTGCGTTACGTCTCTTGGTTAGAAAACTCGTGATCATACCAATCAGTGGTGAGATAAATTGAGTGTAAAAAGAGGTGGTGGTCGTGCATCTTCTCACTTTCTACATGCACCTTTCCCCTTTCTTCTATGACGACTAGACTACATCTGAACATAGTGTGATAGCGTGTGCCTCCGTAGCGCGGAGAACTATTCAGGATGGCTGTCTGGACCCAATCTACGGTCAATGGGTGGATGCCAAACAGTGCTCACTTTTACAAATCCAGGTGATTCGGCACCTCCTGAATTCTTTGATTTTCCACTCTCACCCCTAGAAAGATTACTGCAGCAAACTAACTCAGTCAGAAACCGTGCTCACAGGTTGAAGAAGCAATTGATGTCTGTCAAAACACCTTGGAAGTTTGACCCCGACCAAGGGATAGATGATGCCATGTGATACGAACTGGACATTGGCTCCTAACAAAGTGCGGTTTTCGCACCTTGCTCCGCTGCTTGGTGGATCAGGCTTTGGGCTAGTCAAAGACTATGGATGAGAATTTGCTGAAAGCATTCACCTGCTTTCGTCTGTGTAACCTGGCAGTATCCCGTCCACGGGTGAAACATAAACCGATCTCTACTGATAAAAATTGTGGCGCCGTGATTCGCATGCCACACCGTCTGGACGCAGACGCCTGTGAAACATTATATCATATCGTCATCTAGATGTCAAATATGACAGGGATCAAATTCCTCGGATGCCAACTCATCAACAGCCAGAGGAATGATCGCGATAAGTGTAACGAAATGGAGAAGGTTGTAATTATGGGTAACAGTCGAACTATTTCTGGTCTAGGAATACGGTTCCAAGAAAAGTAGACACTAGGTAACTAAAGATCAACCACACGCCGATCCGTACTCTGGGACGTTGTTTTGAGCGATGAGCAGAAAACTTTGAGGTACTGTTCAACTGATCCCCATCGACACCATACCTGCCGACTCCCGTTTCAACTGGGTAAACATTACCGGGTGATGTCAGTCCTCCTCGTAAGCGGAGGTTCTCCGGTCAAAAATTGGTTTCTATAGGCAAATGGTTTCAGGTCCGGGTAGACTGTCTCCATGGGCTTTTATTAAGGATTGTTGTTTAGTCTTGGACTTAAAGTTGACGAAACTTCCAGGTTCTGTATGGGAAAGTAAACAGGTTTTATTTGAAAAACGTGAGTTGGTCATCTTACAGGTTTACAGGAAAGGTAATAGATCATCTTGTGGAAACCATAAAGGAATTAGTTTGATCAACGTCGTCCCTAATCTCCTCCCTGGCAGTATAATCCGGCGATTGTCTGCAACATTTGAATGGTGCACGCATGAGAATCAAGTAGGTTTTAGACCCGTTCGAGGTTGTAAAGAACACAGTATTGTTAGCCAAATGACGGAAAACAGACGAGCGTTTCATAAGTCCCCGAATTCTATTTTCCTCGATCTGAAATAGACCCTGGATTCAGCCGACAGCTGTGTGCTGTACTCCTGCCCATCCTTGAAAGATGTGCCAGCGAAGTTTATTTCGATATCACGATCCCTCTGCCGCTTGAAAGTGCCGGATCAGTGGTCGCGTGAGCTAAACTGAACTTACCCGCTCTCCTAACTTTTATGTCGATATTGCTCCAAACATATTTACTGTTCCTTTTACAGTGACCAACATAATTCGATAACTGGAAGACAGTTACCGTCACGCTACAGTGCGAAGTTAGCTGTTGCGTAAAATGAATCGGTACTATCTCCTTATTTAATTTATTCGTGTCTCTGGAAGACGCAATGTGGTATAATAACAAGGAAACGTAAGAACGGGTCATTGCATGACCGTCAAAATTATCTGTTACTCTGAGGTAGCAAGCTTTAGAAAATCGGCCGAGAACACTTGGAATACAAAATGAAAAATCCTACTCACATTGTGAACACACTGAGCGAATTCGATTTAAATGACCTTACTTTGCAATACTTTTTCCTGAGCGCTATGTAACCGCCATCTGTGATTTTTTCCGAGTCGTTTATTGATTGCGCGTTATTTTTTCTTCTATCGCCTCTGGGATGATTAGATAAATGTACAAGCAATTTTCAAGAAGGATAAAGGGGGATCATTAAAGAACTGTCACGTAAAACGAAGAAAAATGAAAGTTAGATTTTCCAACACAACGTTCGACGGAACGTGTCCACGGTGAACACCGCTAAACCACCACGGTTGAATAAGCCAATTAGGTCTTCGAGCGGGTCAGTTGTCGTCGATTTTTCTTCCATGAAACGTTTTACCAGACGCAGTTGCCGCTAGCCTTCAAAACCGGCTACCACTGCTCTGGGACTAGGAATAGCGATCCACCTAAGGGCGCACCCAGCGATGTCCAAAAATGCGCTGACACTGAACTCGGGTGCACTCTAGTGAAAGAAAACCATAACCGCTCAATGACTAACATAACCCGTGACCGTGTGTCCTCGAGACTAGGGATTCAGGTTTATACTGCTCATTACCCTAATGTGTCTAATAAAAAAGCCGAGGTTAAAACGCTCTACTCCTATTAGTTAGTTTATTCCTTCCCGTTCACTCCGGGGACGGGATTAAAATCTGTACAGGGCGTGGTGTCAACTGACTGGAACAGTCATATGCAAACGGAAGGATGAAGCTACGATCGAGCCGTCTGATTTCACTATCGGTTGCCTGGTGAATATTTGTTTGTTCTTTAGAATGCATTCCCACATTCATGTTGTTTTACTGAGTGAATACAATCCCACGAAGTACCATCGATGCTATGCGAAATCAGAAGCCTCCGCTTTGAATTTTGCTGCTACACTGCTCTGCTTTGTAACTCCTCAGTATCCCCTTTGTCGTACGGAGTTATGCAGCATAATTCGAACTTCATTTATACTTGACGGGGTTGATCTGAAGACAATGAAGCATAACACAAAACGACGAAGGAGTCTGCATAAACGGTTTGGAGTACCACTAAACATCCATTAGGCTGAGAGTGAGATAAAACATTAACCGGTTTTCGTGTAATTGAATGGGCACCGGAATCGATATACATGTGTTTAGCTTAGCACCAAAATTGTATCACGGAAGATTCCCATATGAATATCAAAAGCAAAATTGTATCAGGTAGCTACGGCTGTTTGACGCTAAGATTAGTTTTGTGATGAAATATAACTGAAGGCCTACTCATTGTCTATGCACTGGATTTGGGGTAATCCGATTCGGGAAACTTGGTAAAACTCATCGTTAAAGCAAATAGTTTTGCTTTTTGTTCATTTACTACGATTCTTGATGAAATGCGATGACTATTTGGTTCGATCCACAGAATCTGGTTGATTGGTTAGAAAGAAAATGAAATTCCTCTGATCCTGAGATGCATACTCACGCGTCAGGTGATGAGATCGAAATATCCATTTGGAACCCCATCGCCGAATATCGCATTCGAAGAGCATTGGGTTCAAAACACAGCACAAACTGCTGATTATTTTTATTAGGAACGATGACAACAACCGGGGATTGGGAATCAGATGTTGTCGTGGCTGAGTTGTGACCAAGGAATTCATTGTGTTGTTGAAGCTCAAATACGCTTAGGGAAAAGATGCCAGGCCCGCTCTGCGAACAAATTTACTTTGACTTCAATTGTAAATTGGTATTCGATTGTCCACCGAAAGAAAGCGTAACGATGCAGGACGCTGTATTCGGTATTTCAAAAATACGACCAATAAACCTATATGAATAATATCGCTCGAACATGAAATTTTATATTCCATACTCGTTCGGAAACAAACAACAATTCACGGCCCTAGAGTCTTCATGATACGGAAGTCCATCGGCGATTTGTTCGTTGGTGCGATACCAACCAAATCAAAGCAGGTGATTTTCTTAGATTTTTGGCTGACCTCTGCCGTACCTGCAATGTAGCCTAGTAGTGTGTGAAAACCACGCAGCCCGTTGGAGACCAGGTCCATTTAGTCGAATCTTACGTCATTTAGACTCGTTTCACCCGTCTAGGGCACTTAATATACCCTATTCCTTCATTGCTTTTTGTGTTAGACACTCATGACAACGTAAAAATAACTCCCAATTTGGGAAAATGCGTTCGCAACTTATCGAATGTAATCTATTGTTAACCAAGATGAAGTTTCGACACGGGATAGGTTGAAGGATTAAGACTTCGCAGAACTACTCGGTCTTTTTGATTTTTTCCTAAGTTTATATTAAACTGGATAACGAACCTTAACTTGCGATCAAAAGCTCTAAAATTTCATCTTCTACCTATCGATACTATGTTCTATTGACATTTGGAATTCATTGAAACGGTCACCATATAATCTTTTCTGCTTCCTTTATTGACGAATAGCAGATTTAACCCTTACTGTGAATCGAGTTCTGTCTATCAGTGCATTTGTGGAACAGCAAAATCCTAGTACGCCATATTTCACGATACCGTTTTTATTATCTGTTTTATTTATTAGGCATGCCAAAGGGATCGACCTAACGTCGCCCGATGTGGATGAAAAGCTGGTCATAACGTCGATTCAAGACACGCCTCTTTTGATTAATACAGAAATAGGACCCGAAGTCAATGCGGTATCCGTCGAATCTTCAACTCAGTCCTTGTCGTCTCCATCATCATCTCATAAGCCTCTACTCCATGTTCCGCTCGATTCACATGTGGCTATGAAACCCGAGGAAAACGAGACCCCATTGGCTTCCACAGAGTGCAGCCAAGCTTCACAGGAGGTGAACGACATTTCCATGCTGACGGACGATGAAACAGGTGACCAACGACGAAAGTCCAATTCAGTTAACTCAGAGCATTTATCTGATTTTGCTTCTATCTTTCAAAGTGAGCCAAAACGTGGGGCGTCCACTCGGGGGCGTCCACGTGGTCGTCCGAGAGGTCGGGGGCGTGTGCGTCCTAGTTGAGATGCTACTGGTTATTAGATTCTTCTATCCAATTCGCACACAATATTGATTTGCCCACTCTCCGTTCCCGTGTACTGCATCCCTTATTCAACTTTTTGGCAATAATTTCGACTTACAACCGCATTATGCTGCGTAGATGTACAAGCCCTTCCTCTATCCCTTTTCCACAAGGTCGAGTGTTTTTGTGCTGTAAAATCATCATGTATATTCAGTGAACTCTAGAATGTCAGCTGTTTACTGACTACAAACCAATGTCTTGATCTGATCATGCGCGTCTTGATTTAATGTACGGTCTACTTTGACCTGTTGTCTTCCTCTTTCTCTCTTTCGCCCGACCTGTTCAACGGTAACAGCACAATTTGAACTTGGCAGGGAGAATGAATGAAGGAGCGTGTGTCTTTCTCTTCCGACCATTCTCGATTGATCCGCCATTGTTCCATTGCACGTGAAGCAATTAATAATCGGTGTCTACATTGTATTCGGACTGTTTATTATTTCACAGCTACCTAATTCGTTCTGTGTATCGATCGGGCAGGATCTGTATATCTGACTGTCCCCAGAGTATTCTCGGACTACAAAAATTCACACCATTAGCAATTCTTGCATTGTACCGGATTAGTATATGGCCTCTACGCTCTGTTCCATTTTGGGCACAGTTGAAGCAAAATCCTGGTCTAGGTTGTCGGTATATCACGGTCGCACTTGTAGCCAATGTGCAGTAGATAGCATATAGGCAAAGAACTACCAGTTATACATCGAATCGAGGACGAAAATGTGAACGCATTCGAGTTTTCACCTTCAATTGTTAGCATACTCTGCTGTCTTGTACACGAAACGACTGTTGCGAACCCACACTTGAAAAAGCTGCGGTATGCAAACAAGCTCGTTTGTTGCAACTTGGTCCTCATACAACACTAGCCTGTGGACTCAACAAATTCGCCTGATGCATAAGAGTAATGCAACGATTTAGTGCCGAGATGAGCGAGGCCCGCAACTATGGGTTGTGCTATATCGTGTAAATCGAAGATGAAAAACGGTCTGATCAGTTGCCGAGTTGGTAGCATGTTTGCGTTCTGCCTGTAAGGTCCCGGGTTCGATCTCCAGTTCGGTCGATGGATTCGATCTACAGGCCAGACCCATTCAGGTCGAAAAAGCTATCCAGTGCTTCCTAGGTTTTCAGTCTACGCTTAGTTTGCTCGATAAGTGACGAATTGTCGTATAGAATTCGCCTGCATTTAGCAACGGCGACACCCTGTTAATCGCTTTGCACGGGTGAGGACAGCCGGGTTCCTTGGAACACACTGATTCTCAACGTTACCCATGCTTGTGAAACACTTCCGGTAAACTGAGCGGACGAGATTGTACGCTTGATCCATCAGCGAAAAAGGCGGTGTGAATCGTGGTATATCATTACTCAAACCCTCAATGCCTTGCGATCCAACCAGGGGGACGTTAGGGACGTCACTCGTACCGATTTCGAATGGCACTTTATGAAACCTGTTGGTGTCGTAGTAGATAGCTGAACTAGTGTTTTTGAGTTTCCTTGACTTTTTCACGGTTCATATGGTAGCAAGTTCAGATATCATCATAATGATGCCGACGTCATGACTGGTTTGCGTAGTCATTCCTGACCACAAGATGGATTGTACGGCTTGATTACCAACATTTAGTGATGTTGTACACACCTTTCTGGAGGCCTCTATAGATTCAGACTACAATTGCCATTGGTAACTTGACCCCCGATTCCTGCTAAGTGGTCTACTATTCTTCTTCATGCAAACTGTGTTCATCCTCGCCCGTTTGCATTGACTTTCTGTAATAAGCCTCTTTTTACTTCGATCTAGTGGAATAGATACTACCGAATGAAAGGTAGCCAGTGGGGAGGTGAGGGCGAATACTTTATGCCGGATATACACCTACGATATTCGCCTTCTGGCGAACATTGCGCTCAATACACTGATAGGGTATGTGCAGCTGATTGCTTATGCTTGTTTTCATTTGAGTAGCTTACTAATCAACTCAGCTCTTTGTGAATAATTCCTTTCTTACATTCATTGTTTCCGGTGTGACTGCCTGTCCATATTTTTGACTACGCCCTTTTCGAACTGCCGGTTTGCCTCTTTTTCGGCCACGCTGACTGGCAGTCAAATGTCTGTATTGTGCCTGAAATTCCTGCAGGCATTGCCAAATGATAAGACAACTGAAAGGCAACGGGTAGACTAGAACTGTAGAGCAGTCCGTCGAAGGATGGGTTACGACCATAAGTTCTGAAGTCGATTTCAATCTCATTCCTGCCAGTTTAGAAAGCAATAATAGTGAGTGAAGGAGTGTGCAACCGCTTACCGTAAATTCGGAGCTGGCGATTTGCGCCCAGCACCTTACGATGACAGCAATAGACTGCTCGTCCGGAATATTCGATGACTCATCGAATTCAGGCCCCCGATGTTTTGTGCGCTGCTCCTTTAAAAGTGAACTAAAAGTTGTTATTGTTGCACTACGAATCCGGGAGAAAATGAAGAACAGAGAACACTGAGTTGATTGCTTGTTCGTATTCAGACTCCCGTCCCATGGCTATTAACAAATTAGCCAGAATTCAATTAGTCACACGTGCTGTTGAAAACAACTCGATAAAATGGTGTTCATGCTTTGGGAGTGCATCTGGATAGGATGTAAGTGTTGGTGAAAAATGTAGTGATACAGAAAATGATATTAATTTAATGCCTAAAGAGTCTGTAAAAGGTCATACTACTTCCTGCCTGCGATTATCGATTATTAATGCCCCGAACCTGAATCAGGTCGTGAACTAACTACCGTTATCCTTTCGCTAACAAATATGACCTAACACTATGAATGCAAATAAACAATGCAAGTGCGCCACATCAAAGATAAACATATATCGCTAATCGATTGTTTGAACATTGCCACCAAGGCCCTGCTTGCCAGTTGATAGAATTTTCCTGTCAGCCCTTAAATAGTTCAACACACCCTCCTGGACACTGGTCGTAAATCGACTCGGAGTACTGGGGCTCAACTTAGTATAACCAATCCGGTTGTCTGAAAAAATTCAAGGAATACCACTGAGATAGATATCCTCGACTAACTTTAATCTCTGGTTGTAGTCACGCTAAATGGATAGCGCGGAGATTTCTTGATATTTATCCCCACTCAAAGCTTCAGAATGACTGTAACTTTCACTTTCAGAGATTGATAAATATCACATGGATTCGAACCAACAATATACTCCCTCGGTACTAAACCAATCCGAAGGAACTTTCCATTCATATCGTGCGGGTTGAAAGCAATAGGATTCAAACGAGGATGGTGCAGAAATGACATTATTCTCTGGACGGATAAAAATCAAAAACTGTACAACACCGAGTTGGTGCGTTTGCGTACGGCCATTAATCAGACGACCGCTTCTCAAAGCAACCGCGAGTGTGATTCGTGAAAAATTCCATACAAACATGTGAGTAAACAACGTGCCAGTACAAACTGGCGCAAAACCCGTTCCTTTCGTCGTGTACCGTCAGCCAGGAAGCCACGGACTAAATCGTACGAGGTCAAGTGCATAAATATGCTTTCCGTCGATTCCGCAGCACCGGATGTGACACGGGGTAATAAGTGCAACTGCACCTCAGGGTGATCACGCAAGATGTCCTGAATATAGGTTGGCCATTGCTGCAGGGTTCGACCAGACCAGGCAATCAAACACGGTGTGTTGGGTGTCCAATCCACATTGTTTCCATCCTCCGGTGAGGCGGACAGCATAGCACAAAGATAACCCAACACAAGTGATTGATGTGCATAGGCGATCCGGCTGTCTGTGGGTAATTGTCGACTCCAATCATAAGAGATCGGACGGAGGAGAATTTTCGGCTTATCCCATTCTCTGGAAGGACTACCAATTTGTTTAGCGTGTCCAAGACCACCACTTTCCACGTGATGAACAGCGGTTTCGGCCTATCAGAAAAGAAAAGCATGGGGAATGGAATCTGTGAGAACGGATTTTCCGCTTCGGTTAAAGGGATGCGCATCGGGTTACATGAGAAGTGATGTGGTGGGATGGAAACAATATGTCTCAGGATCAACGAATATGCAAGACGTAAAAGGTTACAGATCTATTGTGGAAATTTATTTGGAGTGTCATTGACGATTTGATTAGACAAAAAGAGAACATGTAGCAAGTTCGCTGCAAATTAGAAAAATTCGAAGGCGGAATGTCATTATTGATATAGCTCGAGCAACAACTCGTTTTGAACACGTCGGTGGTGCCTGTCGAAGCTCAACTAAGTTATGTACGCAATGGGATTGCCTAGCTCAGTAGCAAGACGGTCATATATCAATACTTGCAGTTTATTTCGAATTCATTGTAGATTAATCGAATCACGCAAACTATGCGCATTTTCATAGTGAATCTCAGTCTATAAGGATGACTGATGTGAAATGTTTTTACCTCTCTACCTCTTATCATTTTCAAGATTTCGAAATGTAAAAGGTACTACTTTCTTTTCTAACACCATGCATCTGTTCAAGACAAATGTTGCTTTACGTTCCCAAGCGGTAATTTCAATTGGCACTCAACTTGAGGTGTTTAGTAAAGTTCTCTCAAAAATAAACCATAAAAAGCTAACGACATTATTCGCGTTAAGAACAAAAGTTCTGTTGTACGATACCTCACGAGTTCACCTTTGAAAAATTAAGGAGTACAGTCCCCATCTCCGACCATAAGGGACTACTAATCAAACAACTTCCCTTAGTTTTACTGCGGACTATGATTTGGAGAGCATAAGCCGATGCCATGAAGTCTCATTGCCGTTTTCTCGGTGCACTTCTAGTTTTCGCACAAACACCCACCGCCATTTTTCACCCTGCTCTATACTCCAATCCACCTGTCCCCGGTGATATATATATATATATATATATATATATATATATAAACACTTGCAGACTGCAAAGCACCGATATATTGATGGCGCCCT